CTGGATAACTGTTAAGTGTAAACACACCGCGATTGTCTAACATATTCACAAACATGCGTACATATTTGAAACACACTTTTTATTTCATACAACGAAAAAGCGCAGATTATTTGCATACAGCTGGCAATTTATAAAACACTGTGTAGAGGTTCAATTAGAAGGGTTTGAAAAAAAAAATGCTTTCTCTTTGCTATTTACAATTTACGCGAATGTATGAGTTTACATTATTTAGCATTGCAAATGAATTTTAATATGTGTTTAAAGATGCAGTGAAAGATATTTGATACGAACCTTAAATAAAGCCTGATTTTTATAAATTTGTATTATTAGGGAATGTGGCGCTGCGACCTAATCACATCAGTTATGCTAGCCGATAAATAGTGACTGCAACCTTAGGCTATTTACGAAATTAAGAAGGTGTCATGTTCCATATTCTGGATGGAGATGATAGTCGCTCTCCAAGGTATATAAGGCTCCAAGCCTTAAAACACCAATGGTAACCAATAACAAACGAAGCATCAACTTTATTTCTGATGCGCTGATTGCTCTAGTGATGCGTTTTGGAACAGTATACATTGTCAATATGCTGTAGTTCGACGTTATGGAACCCTATACCTTGTACGTATGCAAAGCAATTGACGTTTTGGAAGTCAGCCTTCCACATTGTTCATAACGGTTTCAATATCTAAATAGATTTATTTGAAAAACACAAGGGTGAGATAAAGTGCTCTGTACTACGACAATGATATGATCATTTGAATGGCTGCTGTGGGTGTAATAATCACTAGACTACTAATTTAATTTAATTTAATTTAATTAATTAATGCTTAACGCTTAACGCCAATCGGCTTTGTACTAATGTAATAATTTAACACATTAAACATTCTAGGATAATTACATTACAAAAACAATTAAACAATACAATGACACAATTCAGTGTAAAAAGACTATTATAACAAGTAGTTGATCCTTCACGTTTTTCATAAAAAGCGCATGAGTTCCTCCGAAGAAATTTAAAGTAGAGCAATGTTCATTTACAAGTCTTGCGATTCTATTATTAGGCCCGTGCAATATGTAGTTCTTTGTAGTCCTTGTTGTTTCGAGTTGGCGGTTGATTCTGAGGCCCCCTTTGGGGCAAATGAATCCAAAATTGCTCAAGAATTTCAGGTGAACAAATGTGGCCATTGATTACTTTGTAGAAAAAGGACAGGTCGGCAGCTTGCCTTCTGCTGAGGAGGCTACTGATTCTGAAATGTTTGTAGACTTCATTGGTGTTCATGGTTGCACCCGAAGAGCTTAAAAAGTATGACAAATACTTGCAGAATCTGACATAACGACATATTGCTGTAAAGAGGAGCTCTATACCTTTCCTCGGAGATTTCGGTGAAAAACTGAAATAAGACACGAAAAACACGTTTTTTGCGGAAATCGCGGAAACGCCTCTTGATAAAAATAAATGAGTGTCATTTTCATTTTCAGCGACTCCAAATTGTGCTAGAAAGCACTTTTTATCGAGGTACTCGTTTGAAACTGAAAATTTGTAAACTAGTGTAATCCGCAAACACTCCATGCGGGCTCTCCAATTCAGCTAAGATTTTGTGAAAAGGACTCCATAAATCATTGAAAGACAACCTAGACCCAGTGTTTTTGCAGTACTCCGATAATAGACCGAAAAGGACCATTTACGGGTCTTCAAAATACTCCTAATATAATTTATAAAATGCATAACGTCAACAGCTTTTTTTTGCGGTGTCCCTTTCCAGGAACATTCTAGACTAGATACAAGAAAAGAAAAACGAGATACATAAAAACACTTTGACTCGATCTTCATTCCACATTCAGATCACAACGAAAACACTCGTTCAAGGTGCCGCTGTGTGAGTCCTATTCCACTCCATATTTGTAGCGCTCCGTATTTGGCTAGCTGGGTAAGAGATTGTCGCCCTTTACATATACATATATGTATGTGTATATTAGACATACATACATAACGCGGAAATTATTCGAACACGATTCGTGGATTTTCCACAAAAGAAACAATCGACTTACATACAAACATATACATACACATGTCTACATTCTGTAACAAACCTGCAGGGAAACCGCGGACTAGTGAATCAAATTTCTAGTTCCGTACCAGAACTTTATCGCCAAAAACGAACCAGTCCAATAGTAACTGGATCCCCCCCACCAGTCTAAAATCAGTGAAATGATGCACTTTTAAAAAACTATTTTATTTCCCTTTTTCCATTAGAAATCTATATCTATGGTGACGAATTTAGAACTAGTTCGGAACTATCGAAAAAGGAATGCAGAACGAACTAGATCTTATCTGTCGAATTTAGAACTAGTTCGGAACTATCGAAAAAGGGCCGCAGCAGGGGCCTTTTTTGATTTACATAGATATGTGTTTGACGGCTTTTCCGTTCAAATACGCTTCCACTCTGGATTTCCCAGATGCTTTTTCATAGCTTAGTAATACAAAACAATAACTTGTTGTTAACACTCCAACATCTAGGGACCGTCTGGAACCTAACCAATAACAGCACGCACCTCTGCAAACTCAGCTACAGCCAAGGTATGTAAACGTACATTTCTTGCAAATATTCAAACAAATTTAATTTCCAATTGAAAACATATTTCTTAGAAAATAATTTAAAATCGCACACACGGAAGAACCAAAAAGATAGAAAACTCACTTCCTAGGACTTCGCAATGCTAAATTCGCCAGTTGCTAGCATGCAAAAGAGACTTATCGCTAACCAGTACTGGGTCTAAATATACCAGAAGCGAACCAGTTCAGAACTAGAGATTTTCCCCACTGGGAAGCTTCAATAAATATGTAGATGCCTACATACTACAGATTATTCATTCGTTAGAAAGCACACCATTTCAAGGCGTTGCAATGCATTAGTGGTAGAAAGGATGTGCAGCCAAATATTTAGCGGTTAGTTAGCTTATGACTTTTTTATAAAGTTCCGGATTTGGCAGCGTCAAACTTGCTTTGGCAGCCAAGTTAAGCAAATAACTCGCGGCAAAGCAACACCCACCAAGCTCCCTAGAAAACACACGTACGCGCACATGTTTGTTAATATGTATGTTTGCGCGGTGAATACTAAACTACTGTATAGGTTCTGGTTTTATTTTGGGTGAAAATATCCACTGGTTGGGTAAAATTAAAAGCAAAATTTGTTCAAAAATTGTACGACACTTTAAAATACACCAATTGTGTGTTATATCGACTATCTACTATTAACTGTAGAATACCAAGGTAATTGTTTGGTAAATTAATACTAATGTTCGTCTGGGGGGCTACTTATAAAAAAAATATAATATATAAAATTTAAAAAAAAAGAGTCCAGACTTATCTCTGAAGTCTCCAAAATAAAGAAGTTTAATAACAAAATGGGTATTTCGAAAGGGAACACATTTTTTATTATTGTTTAAGCAATTGTTTAAAAACAAACAAAAAAACAGTACAAACGAATTGAAAACAAAATGCATATGTGCGTATGTATGTATGTACATATTAGAGTTGAGCACTTTAGTTCTTTTCAGTGAACCGTTCAGTTGTAGTTGGTTCACCTTAATGCACTAGTTCTTTAGTTCATTTAGTTCAATTGACGAACACATTTACATATCGACATCTTTGTGGAAGATCGACCTATCTCGGCAGCCAGTTCGAAAATGCCCTATCT